CATCTCGCAGTACCTTATCAAGCCGCTTGGCATGCTTGTCAGAGCATTGGGGGTTGGGTTTAGGGTTTATGGTTCTGGGTAGTAAGCAAGCCCTTGAAACCCTAAACCCTAAACCCTCCATATCAGCCTAGAATGTCCCAAAAGGCCAGGCTACTAGTATCAAATGAGGCCAGTCATTGTTTAGGGTTTAGGGTTCAAGGTTTTAGGGTTTGGGGTTTTGGGTGTAAGCTCTAGGGTTTAGGGTTAGGGCTTAGGGATTGAACTTCCAAGCTACACGCTTGCCAACCGTAATGGCCGTGTCGACAAAGGCATCAGCCACCTGCCATAGGCTTTAGGGTTTCTGGTTCTGTCTTTACATAACCCAAGGTGACTGACAGATAACATGAGGGCCCCACCCAAATTACACGGAGATGCTTTACATCCTAGCTCTAAGGCCCATAAATGCCACTTAGAACCATTACTTACCTGTAACCCTTAACCCTAAACTCTTAAACGCAAGCACGTACACCCTAAACCCCCAATCCCTTGACCCCATGGCCTTCTCATTGTCATTGGCTGCCTGGTAATTCTTTTCATAAAGCTCACAGAACTTCTCGACACCTTAGCGCTTGCCAAAAACAAGTAAGCAGAAATCTTTAAATTAAGGTTCTAAGACAGCATGGGGACCCACATAGATTCAGCCTAGATTCTGACTTCTTTGCCGCCATTGCTGCGTTCAAGCCTCGCCTTATGGTTTAAGACCGAAAAGATCTTCTGTAAACATGTCAGTGTCATCGTGATTGACTGGCTCTTCTTCTTCTGCCGGTTGTTGTGAACCATCCAGAAAATCTCATCGTCTTTGGCGACTCTGTACACGAAGCTTGTACTCAGAATCGCATGCCTCCATGCCTCACATCGCTGCTCATCTCCCAAATCCCGCTGGATTGACCTAGGATACAACTAGCATCCATGCAACAGTACTTCCATTGTACATATTCCGGCAAGAAGCAGGATGAATGCCACCAAGTGCTCTGTTGGGACAACCGGCTTCACATTCAAGGTTGACATGTCATCCACCCAGGTTTTGGGCACTGTGACCTTCAAGCCATGAAAATCGAATCATAACCCCAAGTCACCCAAGTGCTTGCAGTGAGCGTACTCAATTGCCCAAGCTAGAACCTCTATGGACCTCGAAGGGCTCCGCAAAGAGGGCCGGCTCCGTGTAGTGGTATTTCATGATTTCTCCAACTGCACTTCCCCTCAAGGGAACCTCATCCATCAGGAAACTCTAGATTCTTTGACTGATAGTTGCATGCCCATGTTAACAACTTTTCTACAGGTTCAGACAGGTCTCATTCGGATCAGCATTGAACTCCAGATCACACTTGAGGATATTGTTGGCACATCGGTACTCGCCAGTCCAATCAGAAAGTGCAGTCTTGGCCACCTT